TTACAACTGCCAACAATGATGGATCAGGACCACAATTTACACAGAGAGTCCGCATAACCCACTCTACATCCTGGTGCGGTTAGGAAAAATTTGTCAATGGATGATGGGACTTGCAGTCACTTCACTCACTTCCTGAGACCACTGACTGATCAAGACCAAATTTGGCACACAGAGTCCCCATGACCCACTCTACATCCTGGTGCACTTTCGAGGAGGACAGACCATGGATGATGGGACTTCAAGTACCTCCACTCCCCAAGACTGCTGCAACCCTCACCTAATGTCCGATCAAGACCAAACTTGGCACACAGAGCCCCCATGACCCACTCTACATCCTGCTGCAGTTTTGGAGGAGGACGGACAATGGATGATGTGACTTCCAGTACCTTCACTCACATTCTGAGACCTCTGCAAACCTCATCCAATGACTGATGAAGACCAAACTTGGCACATAGACCTCTCATGACCTACTTTACGTCCTGGTGTCATTTGGAAAAAAATGGAGATGGATGATGGGACTTGCAGTAACCTCACTCACTTTCTGAGACCACTGAGACCCTCGCCAATGACTAATCAAGACCAAACTTGGCACACGGAGCCCCAATGACCCACTCTACACCCTGGTGCAGTTTGGAGGAGGACAGACCATGGATGATGGGACTTCAAGTACCTCCACTCCCTTCCCAAGATTGCTGCAACCCTCATCTAATGACCGATCAAGACCAAACTTGGCACACACAGCCCCCATGACCCACCCTACATCCCGGTGCTGTTTGAAGGATGGACGATGGATGATGGGACTTGCAGTACGTTCACTCACTTCCTGAAACCATAGCGACACTCATTCAAAAACCAATAAAGACCAAACTTGGAACATAGAGCCCCCATGGCCAACTCAACATTCTGGTGAGGTTTGGGGAGTACAGACTATGGATGATGGGACTTCAAGTACCTCCACTCACTTCCCAAGACCTCTGCAACACTCATCTAATGACCGATCAAGTCCAAACTTGGCACACAAAACCCCCATGACCAACTCTCCATCCTGGAGCAGTTTGGAGGGGGATGGACCACAGATAATGGGACTCACAGTAACTTCACTAACTTCCTGAGACAACTGCGAGTCATATAAATAACTGATAAAGACCAACCTTGATACACAATTCCTTTCTCAAATAACCCGGGCAGCGCCGGGTCCCCAAGCTAGTATATAATAAAGGTGAAAGTTTGTATGTGGAGGACAAAAGTGTGGCGGTGCGACGGGAGGAGTATGTGCCAGCGTTTTGATTGGCCAGCCTGAAAGTTCCAACATTCTGATTGGCTGCCGCAGTGGTGCTATTTGCATATGGTCTCTGATTGGCCAGCTTCAAGAGGAGCCCCTGGTGGAGAAAAGAGTTCATGACAGAAACGGGGACATGAGAAGGAAATTTGCATATGGTCTCTGATTGGCCAGCCTCAATTCCAAGATTCCGAGATGACAAAGAGAGGAAAGGAAAAGGCCAGAGGGGGCTGGGTCAGACAATTACCAATACAGACCACACTTGGCACACAGAGCCTGCAAGACCGACTCGACATCCTACTGCAACCATGGATGATGGGACTTGCAGTACCATCACTCACATTCTGAGACCGCTGTTAACCTCATCCAATGACTGATCGGACCAAACTTGGCACATAGACCTCTCATGACCCACTTTATGTCCTGGTGTGGTTTGGCTGGGGATGGACCATGGATTATGGGACTTGCAGTACCTTTGCTCAATTCCTGAGACCACTGCAAACGCTCATCCAATTATCGATAAAGACCAAACTTGGCACACTGAGTCTCCATGATGCACTCTACATCCTGGTGCAGTTTGGAGGAGGATGCACCATGGACGATGGGACTTGCAATACCTGCACTCCCTTCTTAAGACCATTATAACTGCCAACAATGATGGATCAGGACCACAATTTACACAGAGAGCCCGCATAACCCACTCTACATCCTGGTGCGGTTGGAAGAATTTGACAATGGATGATGGGACTTGCAGTCACTTCACTCACTTCCTGAGACCACTGAGACCCTCGCCAATGACTGATCAAGACCAAACTTGGCACACAGAGCCCCATGACCCACTCTACATCCTGGTGCACTTTCGAGGAGGACCATGGATGATGGGACTTGAGTACCTCACTCACTTCCCGAGGACTCTGTGAACCTCATCCAATGACTGATCAAGATAAAACTTGGCACACAGAGCCCATGACCCACTCTACATCCTACTGCAGTTTGAAGGAGGATGAACCATGGATGATGGGACTTGCAGTACCATCACTCACATTCTGAGACCCTGCTGTTAACCTCATCCAATGACTGATCAGGACCAAACTTGCCACATAGACCTCTCATGACCCACTTTACGTCCTGGTGTGTGTTTGGCTGGGGATAGACCATGGATTATGGGACTTGCAGTACTTTTGCGCAATTCCTGAGACCACTGCAACGCTCATCCAATTACTGATAAAGACCAAACTTGGCACACTGAGTCTCCATGACGCACTCTACATCCAGGTGCAGTTTGAAGGAGGATGCACCATGGACGATGGGACTTGCAATACCTGCACTCCCTTCCTAAGACCATTACAACTGCCAACAATGATGGATCAGGACCACAATTTACACAGAGACCCAGCATGACCCACTCTACATCCTGGTGCGGTTTGGAAGAATTTGACAATGGATGATGGGACTTGCAGTCACTTCACTCACTTCCTGAGACCACTGAGACCCTCGCCAATGACTAATCAAGACTAAACTTGGCACATGGAGCTCCAATGACCCACTCTACATCCTGGTGCAGTTTGGAGGACGACAGACCATGGATGATGGGACTTCAAGTACCTCCACTACCCAAGACTGCTGCAAAACTCATCTAATGACCAATCAAGACCAAAGTTGGCACACAGAGCCCCCATGACCCACTCTACATCCTGCTGCAGTTTTGGAGAAGGGTGGACCATGGATGATGGAACTTCCAGTACCTTCACTCACATTCTGAGACCTCTGCAAACCTCATCCAATGACGGATCAAGACCAAACTTGGCACATAGACCTCTCATGACCCACTTTACGTCCTGGTGTTGTTTGGAAAAACTTTGGAGATGGATGATGGGACTTGCAGTACCTTTGCTCACTTCCTGAGACCACTGAGACCCTCGCCAATGACTAATCAAGACTAAACTTGGCACATGGAGCTCCAATGACCCACTCTACATCCTGGTGCAGTTTGGAGGAGGACAGACCATGGATGATGGGACTTCAAGTACCTCCACTCCCTTCCAAAGATTGCTGCAACCCTCTTCTAATGACCAATCAAGACCAAACCTGCCACATAGAGCCCCCATGATCCACTCTACATTCTGCTGCTGTTTGAAAGAGGATGGACTTTGGATGATGGGACTTGCAGTACCTTCACTCACTTACTGACACCACTGCCACCCTCATCTAATGACTGATAAAGACCAAACTTGGCACACAGAGCCCCCATGACCCACTCTATATCCTGCTGCTGTTTGTAGGAGGATGGGCCATGGATGATGGGACTTCAAGTACCTTCACTCACTTCCTGAAAATAATGCAGCCGTTATCCAAAGACCAATAAAGACCAAACTTGGCATACAGAACCACCATTACCCACTTTCTCTAATAACCCGGGCAACGCCGGGTCCCCAAGCTAGTTTAGAATAATTTGGCAGGGAGCATTGCATACTGACTGTCTCAGAGACAGTTGGAATGGAATACAGTAGCCTAAAAGAAGAGTGACCAAGTAAGACATCCCTAAGTTTAGGAGATAGTTCACCCTGGTCAGATTTAATGTGTTCCCATCTGCAGCATTGCAAGGTAGATTTACCCCACATCAGGAACAGGTATGCCCATACGGTATGCTGATTGTAGAAACCACCAAGCATGTCCTCCTATACTGTGGCTTTGATAGAGATATCGAAGCTGTTTTTATTACTCACATTGTACAAAAGATCCCTGGTAGAAATGACGACTGCTATCTAAAACAGCTCATAGACAACAAGGAACCCTTGATCCCTCTTAGGGTGACTAAGCTTTGGGCTATAAAAATAAGGAGGCACAACGGGGTCAAACCACTGAACTGTTGAATCTGCAGACCTAAAGGTTGGCAGTTCAAAGCCGTGGGTTGGGGTGAGTTCCTGCTGTTAGCCCTAGCTCTTGCCAACCTAGCAGTTCAAAGACATGCAAATGTGAGTACATCAATAGGTACCTCTTTGGCAGGAAGGTAATAAAGATGCCCATGCAGCCACGCCAACAGCACAACCAGGAGGTGTCTACAGACAACAGGCTCATTGGCATGGAAATGGAACAAGAGCACTTCCCCATGGCTAGAATTGAGCACTGTCTCCAGAAGCCAGAGATGAAAGGGGAAGCCTTTACCTTTGTTCTGTGTATTTTTATGTCATTGTTATTCTACTGTATTAAAGGTATATCTGTATATGTTGTAATCCACTCTGAGTCCCCTTGGGGAGCTGGAGCAGAAAATAAATAAGGTGTTATTATTCATTCACAGCCTAAAAGAAGGCATGCCTGCTGCCTGGACCCGGAATGAGAGAGTTTGAACTCTAACGAGCTCTCTCTTTTGGAGACAGAAAAGGAAGGGTGTCTTGGTGTCAATGGCAAAGCAATCAATTATCACAATCATTGTCCAATTTTTTAAAAAAAGTCCCAGTGCCAAAAAAGGACATCAGAATGGGCACCAGGCAGGGATTTCTAAAAAGAGAATCCCAAATGCAAAAAGAGAATTGCAAATACAATATGCCACAACTTAGATTTAATAATCTATGCTTCAATTATTTCTTTAAAAGTGAGAGAAATATGATAAAACGGATACACAAGGCACAATCTCATCAATCCCCAGCCTGTGAGGTAAGAAAACTCATCTGTTTCCCAGCTCGCAAATATGACTAGCTTGCCTCGCATTTGTGTACTTTACCTTTTATGACATCACAGTCTTGATCCACTACTGCCTTCCTGCAAACGTTAAGGAAAGAAGACTATCAGGTGGACTCAACAACAGTTTCAGCACCAAGATTAGAACCAATAAGTACAACTAAACGGCATGCAAACCATGAAACGATATTATTCCAGGGCAAAATACATACGTACATAGTTGTGTATGAGCCTCACTTCTTGCCTGAATGTTAAACTTTCAAAGGACAGCATAGTGATTACTAATTAAAGCAACCTTCCTCAACTTTGTATCTTCCAGATGTACTGGATGACATTCTGCACCATCCACAGCTGTGCTGGGGAGGATAATGAGAACTGTAGGCTAGGATCAGGCCTTGAGACCAAGACGAGGGTTCATATCTCCAGGGACCATCACTAAACCCAATGGGTAAACATAAAAGAAAACCAGTGGATTCCCTGGTCCAGCTCTATGCTCATGCAGTGGCCAGCCAGATGTTTTGGGAAACCTACTAGCAGATCATGACCACAACAGCACCCAAGTGACCCTCAATAAAATGCATGCATATCTTTTATTTGTTACAGATAATGCATTGTTAGACAGGAATGCATTGGCTGTAACCATATTGTGTAAAACTAGTGAAAAATACAGTTCTAATGGACATGTGTGCTGGGGAAAGACTCCTGTTGTCACAGTGATGTATGCAAATCATAATTTAATGGCTGCTACGTATCTCTCTAAACCAGACTGGGAAATCATATTCGACTACAATTCAGTCATCTCTTACTATTGGCTATATGGGCCAGCATGGATGGCAGCTATAGTCCAACAACATTGGCAGGATCACTTATTTCTCACCCCTGTTCTCAAACCATGTAGGCAACACATAGGTGTTAACAAGATAAATGCAGATTGATACATAGTGTCGAGAGTCATTTATCTTGTGCCAACCTTGTATTTCCCTCAGCATCAATTCAAGTTTTTTTTAAAATTCTGTTATCTTCTAAATCAAACTTTTTAAACAGAGGGTCAGGTCAAGTCCCTCTAACAATTGAAGGGCCAGATTATAATTTGAAAAAAGCATGAATGAATTCCTATGTACACTGCACATATCTTATTTGTAGTGCAAAAAACACTTTAAAACAATACAATAATTAAAATGAAGAATTTTAACAAATATAAACTTATTAGTATTTCAATGGGAAGTCTGGGCCTGCTTTTGGCTGATGAGATAGGATTGTTGTTGTTGTATCCTTTCAAGTTGTTTCAGACTTAGGTTGACCCTGAGCGAAGGCCGTCTAAATGACCTTGGAGGGCCGTATCCGGCCCTCGGGCCTTAGTTTGAGGACCCCTGTTCTAAATCTTTGAAATGTCTATTATCTTCATAGCCTTGGATGTTTCAGAAATTTTAGCTTTTGTATTTCCCAAGTGGTTTTAACTCTCGATTTTGTATCAGACTTTCTTGTTCTGTTTTCCATAACATTGTGCTCTACAGTTCTAGCAAAGATCGGGGAATTGGGCTATGATAGCGATTTCCTGAACTTGCTAACTTTCACCGAGATCTTTACCCTTATTAAAAGGAAGCTGCTAGAAAGGGACTATAACCAATTGTTGAGCTTGGCCAATAAATCCTGTTCACCTATTAACATGGCAATTCCATTCATACAGGGAAACCCAGCCTTTTATATTGCAGAACTCACTAACCCCTCTTACAGAAGAGCCTACATGCTGGCTAGATTTAACATCATGCCATCTCCGCTCCATAGAGGAAGACTAAATGGTCTACCAAGCAATAAGAGGCTTTGTCCCTGTAGCACAGGACAGCTGGATTCCATCCTGCATATTTGTCTGCACTGCCCACTTTACCAGGATCTAAGATTAGCTTACTACCACATGTTATAGATTCCTTGAAAAACTACAGTGACTCAGACAAAGTAATTATGTTTTTAAATTGTCAAGATTTTAGCTGCTGCCTTTCAGTGGCAAGATTCCTGAATGAAGTCTGTAAACTGAATGTGTAGCAAATGTGAAGTTCCTTTTTCTATTATTTGTACTGTATTTTATACCTCTTTGCTATGTAAATGCCCATAAAGGCTTATTGGATTGGATTGGATTTGGAAATAAAGATATCCAGGTTCAAATCGCCTCTTGGGTATATCTCCTTGTGGAGAGAAAAAGCAGAGTATAAATAAACATTACAACAACAACAACAACAACAACCTAGGTCACTGGCTGAGACTGGTCCAGATTATCAAATCAGACAATCCACATTATTTGCTTTGAGCTGGATTATACACTACCATATAATGACGGATACTCTGGTTTCTCTTCAGATTGTATAAATCTTTCGTCTTTTACTACCATATAAACCAGTTCAAATCAGATAATCTGGATTTTATATGGCAGTGTAGAAGGGCTCATAGTCTAATCATCCTTTCAGGATGCCGCGAGACTAAAAAGGTGGGGAGAACCAACATTCAACAAACAAAGGTGCAATATAAATTCAACAAAGAAGGAATGAAATAAATGTTACTTACCTCTTCTTACGGCAGAGGAAAACCAGTAGTAAAAGAGCAGAACAGATTAGGACAAAGCCTCCAATCACTAGCATCACCAGTAAAGGGGGCCCTGAATAAAGAAACAGAGTCAGCCCTTGGGCTCCTTTTCTCCTCCATTACAATGACTGTCCATGAAAGAGATCTTGCTCTTGCCTCTAAGGGGTCACAGTAGCGCAGCAGGTTAAGCCGCTAGCTGCAGGAAATTTGCTGACCAGACGGTTAGCACTTCAAAGCCACGTGTCGGGGTGAGGTGAGCTCCTGGCTGTCAACCCTAGCTTCTGTCTACCTAGCAGTTCAAAAGTACTCAATGCAAGTAGAACAACAGGTACCAACTTGGCGGGGAGGTAAAAGGGTGCCCATGCAGGCAACATAATTGGACATGTAAATGGACAAGCTCCTTGGCATGAAAAATGGAACAAGAGCACCTCGCCATGGCCAGAGTTGAGCATCGCCTCCAGAAATGGAAGGGGAATAGGCCTTCACCTCTGTCTATGTATTGTATGTCGTTGCTGACTATGTAAAAAGGCACTGAATGTTTACCTTATATATGTAAAACTGTAATCTGCTCTGAGTCCCTCTGCAGCGATAAAACAAAATAATGTGTATTAAGCAGCTGAGGGTGAAAAGGAAGGGGACGGAGGCTGTTAGGAATTGTAGGAGTTGAAGCCCAAAACACATGGACTATACCATGTCTGGACTATACTTTGGGCTCTTTACCTTATCATCTCTAGCAGGCCTGTAGCGAGGGGGGGGGGGGGGGGGGTTAGGGTTTAGGGGTTCAACCCCCCCCCTGAAATGTTTCAGATTTTTTAAAAAACCTGGTTTACTCATGAATTTTAGCTGGTTAACCAAATCCCCATGCTAAGTCTATGAGATACAAAAAATTAAGAGTCCCTCCAGAACAGCAAGCACTATCTCAGGCAAATATTGACAATTTATTCACACTGTTTGGGACCCGCCTACCTGCGTGACCGCATCTCTGTGTACGAACCCACACGATCTCTTTGTTCATCTGGAGAGGCCCTACTCACGATTCCACCTGCATTGCAAGTGCAATTGGTGGGGACGAGGGATAGGGCTTTCTCAGTGGTGGCCCCTCGACTCTGGAACTAATGATATCAGGCACCACAACCCCCCCCCCCTCATAATTAAGGGCAAGGGCACCAGACCACACAACAAGGGTTAAGTCTTGGCCACACTGCCAAGGCACTGACAACAACAAGGACCCCACGAGGTTTTTTGGGAAATGGCTGGATCATGGGACTTCTGCCCTTTTGTGAGAGTTGTGGTTCCCCAAGGGCTGAGCGATGGACTCTGTTATTGATCAACTCAGTGCCCATCTGCTGACTTCTGCAGGGAGAAATGACTCTTTGCTACCTGACTTGAAATGCAAGCAGCCTCCGTTTCCACGCGCCTTTGCCAGAGGACTATGAGATCTCCAGTTTGCGTTATAATAAAGATCAAATATTGTAATAAATTTTCCTGGGATGGGGATGGGGTTTTCCCCTTATGAAATGTGTGTAAGGAGATGTTGTATGAAATGTAATATGTTCCCCACCCTGCCTTTCCTGCCGACCCTTGCCCCATAAAGATGTGACCTGAAGATTACTGTATTGCCTTGGGGAGAGGCTCCTTTGTTCTCCCCAAACCCTCCCTGATTGACTCATCAGCATGGAACAATACTGTTGATTCCCAACCCTAGCCCTCGGAGCATGTCCAGCGAGGGGAGGGGATCAACAGAAACCTGGAAGAAAGGATTGATTAAATCACACAAAGACGACGTTGATCCACCTTTTGAGGTCCGTTGTCTAGCCAAATATTCTTTTCCCCAAAGCCATTCCAAACAGGAAAACTTTTGTTTTCCAGGATCACACCTTGCCGGCCTGAGACAAAGGCTTGCTGGCAACTGCTAATCCCATCATTTCCCCCCTCCATTGTTCACGGCCGTACCGCCTCCTCTCTCCTGACTTGTCCATCTTGCGAGGCGAGCGGAGAGCGCTCATTGGCCCCCTAGAGGCGAAGAAACGCGCTGATTGGTCCAGAGCAGGGGCAGGCCGCCCAGCCTCCTCCCAGCTGTTCCAGCATCAGCCAATCAGCGTGAAGCCGGCCGGCAAGGGGCGGGCAGGAATTTTGAAAGTTTTCCTTTGTATTTTTACTATAAATATGTCTGTATTCTTTGTACTGGTATGCTTGCAGTGGAATTATTCCTGCAATGCATCTGATCTCAGCTGAATCACAAATAAACTTCGGTTGCTGGAAACTTCTTCCACCTTGATGAGGCATTATTAATTGTAATATTTTGAGATTGGCTTCGCTGGCCTCACCAAGGGATCCAGGGCCCTTTTTTGGCGCGGTCCTCGGGTTCCTCTCCCTTGAGGAGACCCCGCTAAAAGCAGCTCGATATCACTATCTCCCTAAGGACATCAGGCAAGCCCCAGCCAGGATGTCTGCATGCCCATCCCCCTCCAAACACCTACCCTTTTCACCTGGTCATGCCCAGCACTTTTTAATTTTAATTATTACATTTGGCCCTGCCACAGATTTTAATTGCGTCATGGTGTGTTCTTAATGTTATTGCCTTGTTTTTGATTTATTTTGCTGTATTGTTGTTGTTTTTACTGTTGTATTTGGGCTCGGCCTCTTGTAAGCCCCACCGAGTCCTCCGGGAGATGGTAGCGGGGTACAAATAAAGGTTTGTTGTTGTTGTTATTATTATTATTATTATTATTATTACAACTACTACTACTACTATTATTATTGTCATTGTGGGGTGTGTGTGTTGAATGCTCTCATTAAGGAGGCCAGACTTGGTGGAGGTGGTTGACAGGGGTGGAGCTGCAGGCTATTGAAGGCTGCTCTGCCCCCTGCTGTGCTCTTTGCTTCAGCATGAGCTAGGAGGCAGGTTTCAACCCCCCCCCCCGAAAATTTCAACCCCTCCCGAATTTTTTTTCTGGCTACGGCCCTGATCTCTAGCAACTACTACAAGCTGGCAACAGTGTGGTTGCAGGCAAGGCAGGTGCCAGGTTGCCTGAATTTGGCATTATGGCAATCGAGCACCTACCTATCCTTATAATAATAATAAACGTAATTTATATTCCATTCTATCTCTCTGAGGGGACTCAGAGTGGATTACAAAAACATATATGGCAAAGAATCAATGCTGTTATCCAATTAACAAGGATTAACAGTACACAGACAGAGGCAAAGGCTTCCTCCTTTTCATTTCTGGCAACCGGAGGCTGTGCTCAACTCGGCCATGGGGAGGTGCTGTTGTTCCATTTTTCCACTCTGAGGATCCTGTTGTCCATGGAACCTTCCTGATCAAATTGCCTGCATGTCTTCATGGGCGTCTTTTAACTCCCCGCCAAAGTGGTACCTATTTATCTACTCACATTGCTGTTTTTGAACTGCTAGGTAAGCAGAAGCTAGGTCTGACAGCAGGAGCTCACTTGAACTGCCAACTTTCCAGTCAGCAGGATTTTCTGTAGCTGGCGGTTTAACCCGCTGTGCTAACCGTGGCCCTTTATGCAACAGAGGTGATTGCAATCTGCAATTGCTACTTGGTCTGACCACTACATCAAGATGTCCGAAGTTGAGAAGCACTTACCTGTTTTTTCTGAACTGATCACAGTTCCTGGGATTTGGGTGAAAATGTCAGGGCTGCTAGTCAGGACGGGAAGCTCTTTGGGGCCACGGTGGGCTAGAAAAGAGTACAATTTCAGGGGATGAAAAAGAAAAAAGAAGTGGGGAAGAAATCTTTTCATTGCTGTGTCATTTCCAATTTATGGCAACCCTAAGACAAGACCATCAGATAGTCTTTCTGGCATGATCTGTTCAGAGCAAGGTTGTCTTTGACTCCAAGGCTGAATGCATGTGGCTTGCCCAAAGTCACCCAATGGCCAAGTGGAAAGTAAGTGAAATTTATTGATTAGTCCACTGACCATATCAACAGTAAAAGACAAAAACAAGAAAATACACAAATAGACACTAATCACTGTCCTAAAACACTTGAAATAGTGAACATATATTAAAACACAATTAAAACTTGATTAATTTAAAAGTTCAAGATAAAAATAATTAAAAATGGAAAGTCCAAGTGGAAAGTCAAATCCTAGTTTTCCAAAGTCCTAGTTCAGGACTCAAAAACCACCACACTATGCTGGTGTGAGGACTCGTATATTAATTTCAGAGGGGTACTTTACATGCTACAACTCAGACACAGCTTACTAACCTCATTCGTCATCCCAAGGGAAAGCTAACACTGTATTTACTCGACTCCAATGTTCACCTTTTATGTCTAAATAACCTCCTGCTGCAGGAGCTGTGTCTGGAGCCTTTAATTTAATTGCATTGACTCGATGCTATGGAATGCTGGGATTTGTAGTTTGATGAGGCATCTGCACTATTTGGCAGAGAAAGCTTAAGCTCTTGTAAAAGTACCGCCCCCATGATTCCACAGCATTGAACAAGGCAGTTAAAATGGATTCATTCTGCAGCAGAGATGCACCCCAAGGTTTTCCTTTCTATCACTGGAAGCCTTGGTGTTCCAACCCAATTGTTTTTATAGAAAGAATTCTAAGCAGGCAGCTACTGTAATGTATTTGCTGATTACAATAATCAGCAAATACTTTTTTTATTTCAGGGTTTTGAAAATGTTGCAGGGTTTCAAGGTTTTGGAAAATGAGGTGCGCATTAGATTTGATGGCATATTAGACTCGAGTTGAAAATGTTGATCATTTCTGCTACCTTGGCAGCCTCCTCTCCACAAAAGTCAACATTGACACTGAAATTCAACACCGCCTGAGCTCTGCGAGTGCAGCATTTTTCCGAATGAATCAGAGAGTGTTTGAGGACAGGGACATCCGTAGGGATACCAAGGTGCTTGTTTATAAAGCTATTGTCCTCCCAACCCTGCTATAGGCCTGCGAAATATGGACTGTCTACAGATATCACAAGCAACTCCTGGAACGATTCCATCAGCGCTGCCTCTGAAAAATCCTGCAAATCTCTTGGGAAAATAAATGGACAAATATTAGCGTGCTGGAAGAAGCAAAGACCACCAGCATTGAAGCAATGGTCTTCTGCCATCAACTCCGCTGGACTGAGCATGTTGTCCGGATGCCTGATCACCGTCTCCCAAAGCAGTTGCTCTATTCCAAACTCAAGAACAGAAAACGGAATGTTGGAGGGCAGGAAAAGAGATTTAAAGATGGGCTCAAAGCCAACCTTAAAAACTCTGGCATAGACACTGAGAACTGGGAAGCCCTGGCCCTTGAGCACTCCAGTTGGAGGTCAGCTGTAACCAGTAGTGCTGTAGAATTTGAAGAGGCACAAATAGAGGGCGAAAGAGAGAATCGTGCCAAGAGAAAGATGCATCAAGCCAACCCTGACTGGGACCGCCTTCCACCTGGAAACCAATTTCCTCATCGCGGGATAAGATGCAGAACAAGAATAGGGCTCCACAGTCACTTGTGGACCTACTGCCTACACCGATCTTGGAGGACCATCATCCTCGGACAACGAGGGATCGCCTAAGTAAGTAAGACTCAAGAAATAATTTTCCCATTCACGAACAAGTCATGATGAAGCTGGCATTACCACTGGATAGTTTGAAACAATACATGGCTGTTAAAATCAACACCCCCCCCCCCCAAAAATGACTGAGGATAGTTTCTAAAATATGTAAGAATGGGAATGCCTGGGGTGGCTGATGACATAATGATCTTTGCTAGTTAAAAATTTAGGCACTGACTCTGACAGCCCTGGTCCCATGCTATCTATCAATTGGTCTTCCCTTCTGCTCTGAGATTGCCTATAACACCTTTCAGGACCACAGCCTCCTTAGGAAGTCCCACTGAAATGAACCAGCAGCCTTCAATCCAAACAGTTCACTCCCTGGTTCCCTAGTTCCTTACTTCCACTGTCGCTGTAAGGATGCAGAGCCTTTGGGCGAGCCACCTGGCATCCCCATAGCGTCATTTTCAGAGCCACTTTCTGGTTCCAGCTCTGAGGTGCGATGCGCAGATAACGGGCCACAATGGGTGGGATAAAAGTATTGGAAGCTTCTTGGTGGCTGTCATGGTTTCCTTCAAAGACCTACATGGGTTGCAGAGAAGGAAGGGAGGAGAGAGAGTTCGGAAAACAGGGTCAATGGTTAGGTTTAGGTCCTTTCTTCTCTTTCACACCCTCCATTTCCTTCCCCTTCCCTTTCCCTTAAGAGACTAGAATGCAATAAGCAATTCAGACAGAGTTTTGGAGCACAATACTCCTGACCTCACGATCGTGTTGAACAAAGTATGGATTGTTAATGTTGCAATCCCAGGTGACAGCAGGATTGAATAATAATAATAATAATAATAATAATAATAATAATAATATTTTATTTATATACCGCTCTATCTCCCCGAGGGGACTCAGAGCGGTTTCCAGGTAAAATCACAGAACATACAAAGTAAAAACAACATAACCATAAGATTAACAAAACAAAAAATGCATAAAAATTGTCGCCATAACACACATATATTAAAAGTAATCCTGCCTGATCAAGGCAATTTAAAAAAATTAAAAGGCTGGGCCAAGATTTGTGCAAGCCCAAAAATTCTAGGGGGCCCAGGAATGAAATACAATGCTATGTATGATGGCACACCAGGAAGATTTAATGAGAAAACTAAATGTGTCTGGCTATTTTCCCAGTGACCATCGGTATGCCCTAATTACTTTAATGCCCCAAAAATGATACTCTAAAAACAAGATTAAATTAATCAACAATTGTTTACTGAACAATCAAGGTATAAAAGTATTGTTTGATTATGATGGTGTTAGAACAGTGAAATATAAACTCTGAGGTAACAAACTACTATAATTTCTATGAGGTAAATATAACTATAAACTATGGGGAATGTATGACTATAACTATTCTATGAGGTAAATATTATCTATTCTTTATTACATCTACTATAAACTCTAAAGTAAATATGTATTATCTATGAACTATCTATCTATAAGGCAAATATAAACTATTCTAAAATCTATAAACTTTGGCAAATATAACTATTCTATGAAACGTGTTATCTATAAACTCTCTATCTATAGGGCAAATATGTGATAAGGATGGCCTGTACGGATTGCTAGGCCAGACCAGACACTTTCTGGCAACTATCTATAAACTATGACCAAAAGGAATGGAGCCAAAAAGTCTTTCACCAGGCTCTGAGGCAGAATGGGCTGAACCAAAGAGCTCAGCCTATAGGGGGAGCCTAAGCTCCTACTCTAAACTTGGCAAACTGAAACAGTCCAATGGGCAAACAGGGAAATGCTAGACCGAGACTTCACACTATGGCAGGCAACAATAATATTAGGTATGGGTCTGTGGTTGTTCATTCTAAGGCCGACTAGAGGGAATGATCTGGGTAATTGGTAGGAAGAATAAGGCCGTATTCGACAATGTGTAGGGCTGAGTTAGGTAAAGGTAAAGGTAGTCCCCTGACATTAAGTCCAGTCATGTCTGACTCTGGGGTGTGGTGCTCATCTCCATTTCTAAGCCGAAGAGCCAGCGTTGTCCATAGACACCTCCAAGGTCATGTGGCCGGCATGACTGCATGGAGCGCCGTTACCTTCCCGCCGGAGCGGTACCTATTGATCTACTCACATTTGCATGTTTTCGAACTTCTAGGTTGGCAGAAGCTAGGGCTGACAGCGGAAGCTCACGCCGCTCCCTGGAATCGAACCTGCGACCTTTCGATCATCAAGCTCAGCAGCTCAGTGCTTTAACCCACTGCGCCACCAGGGGCTGAGTTAGAACTGGGCATTTTCAAAGGCTTGTTGAAACCACCAGGTCTTCAAGCTCTTACGAAAGGAGGGGAGGGATGGGGCCTGTCTTATTTCCCTTGGAAGGGCGTTCCAGAGGTGGGGGGCCACCACTGAGAAGGCCCTCTCTCTCGTCCCCACCAACTGCGCTTGAGATAGTAGTGGGACCGAGAGGAGGGCCTCCCCAGAAGATCTTAGAGCTCATGCCGGTTCATAGAAGGAGATGCGATCGCGGAGACAGGCGGGGCCCGAACCGTTTAGGACTTTATAGATCATGACCTGCACCTTGAATTTCGCTCAGCAACTTATCGGCAGCCAATGAAACTGTTTTAATAGGGTGTTGTATGCTCCCTATAGTTTGCTCCAGTAAGGAGCCTGGCTGCCGCCCGTTGTACCAGTTCAAACTTCTGGGCCATCTTCAAGGGCAGCCCACGTAGAGCGCATTGCAATAGTCCAGTTTGGATGTGACCAAGGCAAGGACCACAATGGTCAAGTCAGACTTCACGAGGTAAGGTCGTAGCTGGTGCACAAGTTTGAGTTGTGCAAAGGCCCTCCCGGCCACCGCTGACACCTGAGCATCAAGTGACAGCATTGAATCCAGGAGGACCCCCAAGCTACGGACCTGCGCCCTCAGGGGGAGTGTAACCCCGTCGAGCACAGGTTGCCACCCAATACTCCGGTCAGCCCTACGACTGACCAGGAGGAAACAACTGGAAAAGATGACACAATATGAGGATTTAAAGATCAAACTGCAAAGACTCTGGCACAAGCCAGGCAAGGTGGTCCCAGTAGAATCATAGAATCATAGAGTTGGAGGAGACCTCATGGGCCATCCAGTCCAACCCCCTGCCAAGAAGCAGGAATATTTCATTCAAAGCACCCCTGACAGATGGCCATCCAGCCTCTGTTTAAAAGCTTCCAAAGAGGGAGCCTCCACCACACTCTAATGCAGAGAGTTCCACTGCTGAATGGCTCTCACAGTCAGGAAGCTCTTCCTCATGTTCAGATGGAATCTCCTCTCTTGTAGTTTGAAGCCATTGTTCCGTGTCCTAGTCTCCAGAGAAGCAGAAAACAAGTTTGCTCCCTCCTCCCTGTGACTTCCTCTCACATATTTATACATGGCTATCATATCTCCTCTCATCCTTCTCTTCTTCAGGCTAAACACGCCCAGCTCCTTAAGCCACTCCTCATAGGGCTTGTTCTCCAGACCCTTGATCATTTTAGTCGCTCTCCTCTGGACACATTCCAGCTTGTCAATATCTCTCTTGAATTGTGGTGCTCAGAATTGGACGCAATATTCCAGGTGTGGTCTAACCAAAGCAGAATAGAGGGGTAGCATGACTTCCCTAGATCTAGACAGTATACTCCTATTGCTGCAGGCCAAAATCCCATTGGCTTTTTTTGCCACCACATCACATTGTTGGCTCACGTTTAACTTTTTGTCCACTAGGACTCCAAGATCTTTTTCACACGTACTTCTCTCGAGCCAGGCATTGTCCCCCATTCTGTATCTTTGCATTTCGATTTTCTGCCAAAGTGGAGTATCTTGCATTTGTCACTGTTGAATTTCATTTTGTTAGTTTTGGCCCATGTCTCTAATCTGTCAAGATCATTTTGAATCCTGCTCCTGTCCTCTGGAGTATTGGCTATCCCTCCCAATTTGGTGTCGTCTGCAAACTGGATGATCATGCCTTCTAACCCTTCATCTAAGTCATTAATAAAGATGTTGAACAGGACCGAGCCCAGGACAGAACCCTGCGGCACTTCGCTCGTCACTTCTTTCCAGGATGAAGAGGAAGCACTGGGGAGAATCACCCTCTGAGTTCGTCCATTTAAGCAATTACAGATCCACGGAACCGTAGTTTTGCCTAGCTCACATTGGACTAGTTTGTTTGCCAGAAGGTCATGGGGGACCTTGTTGAAGGCCTTACTGAAATCCAGGTACGCTACATCCACAGCATTGCCCGCACCTACCCAGTGGTGATCGACACACTGGGTGCAGTGCCTAAAGACCTTCGTCTGCACTTAAACACAATCGGCGCTGACAAAATTACCATCTGCCAGCTGCAGAAGGCCACTTTACTGGGATCTGCATGCATTATTCGCCGATCTATCACACAGTCCTAGACACTTGGGAAGCGTCCGACGTGTGATCCAATACAACAGCCAGCAGAGTGTCTGCTGTGGACTCATCTTGTTGTGTTTCTAATAATAATAATAATAATAATAATAATAATAATAATAATAAAGCTGGCAAGCGCCTGGGATTCGTCTCTGAATATTCTGCTTTTTCCAAGGGCCCGGGATAGTAGAGATATTCCAGACACTTGGACCTAATGTGCATGTATACTGTGTTGTTAAGTACATGTACTAAAATAACAAAGCTGCTAGAATTCCCTATCCAACACTGAAATAATCAATATATAGAGCAGTGGTTCTCAACCTGTGGGTCCCTAGATGTTTAACCTTCAACTCCCAGAAATTCTAATGACTGGTAAATTGGCTGGGATTTCTGGGAGTTGTAGGCCAAAACACCTGGGGACCCACAGGTTGAGAACCACTGATATAGAGGGTCCATAACAATAATAATAATAACAACAATAATAATAGAACCCTAGAGTTGAAAGAGACCCCATGGGCATCCAGTCCAACCCCCTGACATGCAGGAAAAGCACAATCAAAGCAACCCCAACAGATGGCCATCCAGCCTCTGTTTAAAAGCCTCCAAAGAAGGAGTTTTCTCTACACTCCGAGGCAGAGAGTTCCACTGCTGAACAGCTCTCCTTAAGGTCAGGAAGTTCTTCCTAATATTCAGGTGGGATCTCCTTTCCTGCCATTTGAGCCTTTAGCTCCATTGAGTCCTAGCTTCCAGGCCAGCAGAAAACAAGCCTGTCTCCTTTCTGCCTTCTCTTCTGAGGCTAAACAGACCCCGTTCTTTAAGACGCTCCTCAGGGATTATTTGTAGCCTCCACATCTTTGATCCTTTGGACTCCTTCTAGCTTAGGGTCAATAGCTCTCTTGAACGGTGGGGCCCAGAATTGGACCCAGTGTGATTCCAGGTAAAAGGTCTGACCAAAGCAGAAGACAGAGAGACCAGGACTTCCCTCAATGTGGAAACTAGACTCCTTTGGATGCAGCCTAAAATCCCATTGGCTTTTTGTGCTGCTGCATTACACCCTTCAACTTATTCTCCACAAAGACTCCAAGATCTTTCTCACATGGATTGTTGTTGAGTCAGGCATCACCCATTCTGTATCTTTGCATTTCATTTTTTTTCTGCCAAAGTGGCATATCTTGCATTTGTCCTTGTTGAAATTCATTTTGTTAGTCTTGGCCAATCCGCTCTCTAATCTGTTAAGGCCATTTTGGGTCCTGATCCTGTTCTCTGGAGTATTTGCTCTCCTTAATTTGGTCCCATCTGCAAACTTAGATAAGCAGGCCCTCTAAACCTTCATCCAAGTCATTAATAAAGACTGAGCCCAGGACCGAACCCTCTTCATGGCACCCAAATAGTCACTTCTTTCCAGGATGACAAGGAGGAACCAGTGGTTAACAGCATTGGTGATGTGCTCTAATGCTTTTTTTCCAACAAGTACAACTGGTGTAGCCTTTAATGAATAGTATAGATCTGGAACTATGTCCATCTCGCGTAACCAGCATTGAGGAATGCTGCCAATTGCAATGCAGCAATATCTGGAAGATGGTACAATCCCCTCCCCTATTCCAATGTTCCCTTTAATGTTGAGGTTCTTCATGCTTGGCATAACTACTCTCCAATTTCAGTTTAATCTCACCTTATCTTCATTACCACCTTTGGCTTTGTAAACTTTCCAGTTTTTGCCATCCCTGCTGGAGAGAACCTTGTAAGATTCCACATAGTAGTTGTGTGGATGAGAAGATCCTTTAGTCACAATTCCTGAAAGAGACAGAAACACCTAAGATATATAATAATAATAATAATAATAATAATAATAATAATAATAATACTTTATTTATACCCCGCCACCATCTCCCCAAGGGACTCGGAGAGGCTTACATGAGGCCAAGCCCAACAACACTTCAATAAAACAAGAAAGCAATAAACAAAACAATACAATGCAATAAATTAAAATAAATCACATATAAACAATAAGCAATAAACAATAACACACAAGGATTTAAAAATCTATGGCTGGGCCAAATGTAATAGTTTAAAATTAAAAAAATAAAAGCTGGGCATAAACAAGGTATGATATATCTGGTAGGAGGGTTTTAAAAGAAGTGAGGGGAGCACAGTCCAACCCAATCCAATAGTTAAAGTGCATTCTGAAGACATATTGCAGGGAATTATTTTCCTTATTCCGGGAAGGCACACTGGAACAGCCACATTTTCAGGCTCCTCCTAAAGACTGCCAATGTTGGGGCATGCCTGATGTCCTTGGGAAGTGAGTTCTACAACAACTGCATTGGCTACCAATAGAACATCGGATCTCTTACAAGATACTGATCCTGACATTTAGAGCTCAAAATGGCCAAGGACCTTTATATCTTAGGGACCGCCTCATTCCTTTTCCCATCAGTGGTTACCTCGATCCACCCAAGAAAATCTCCTATACATACCAGGCCCTAGGGAGGTACACCTGGAAGCTACACGGCGTAGAGCTTTTTCGATCTATGCTCCAATTCTGTGGAACTCATTGCCTCCATATATTAGAGCAATGTCGGAGTTGCGACCTTTTGTAAAGGCGCTCAAGACTTGGCTGTTTGGTTGTGCATTTAAGTAAAGTGATCAGATCTAATTTGCCAAATAGTCACTGTTGTATGTTTATATGTTGAATGTTTTTATATTGTGTAAATGCTATTTTAAATTGTAAGTCACTCGGAGCACCTTGGTGGAGAGCGACTAATTAAGAAATAAAGTGAAGTGAAGTGAAGTGAAGTTCCAGAGTCGGGGGGCCACCACCGAGAAGGCCCTCTCCCTCATCCCCACCAATTGCGCCTGCGAGGGTGGCGGGAGCGCAAGCAGAGCCTCTCCAGATGATCAAAGAGATCATGTGGATTTGTACACAGAAATGCGGTCGCGCAGGTAGGCGGGTCCCAAACCATTCAGGGCTTTGTAGGTAAGAACCTGCACCTTGAATTGGGACCGCAAAATGAACGGCAGCCAATGTAGTTCCTTAAACGGGGGGTTGACCACTCCCTGTAAGTCGCACCAGTTAGTAAACTATGGTTGCTTACCTGTAACCATGGTTCTTCAAGTGGTCCTCTGTGGAATCCACACATGTGGTATTCTGATGTCCACATGCAGCAGTTCCGGAAATTCTAGTAAATTATTAAATAAGTACTGCCCCGCCCCTGTTCTCCAGACCACGTGCCCAGAGCCAGTTCCCTGCTGCAAAAGCGGCAGAGCAAAGGCATGAGCGATGTGGGGAGGTAGGGTGGGGATGTGTGGATTCCACAGAGGAACACTTGAAGAACCATGGTTACAGGTAAGCAACCATAGTTTCATTCTCGTGGTCTCTGTGGAATGCACACATGTGGTAGAATAAAATAGCCACTTACTGTGGATGGTGGGCGTCATGCCAGGGATGAGAAGAGGACAGCTCGTCCAAACTCCGCCTGGCATTTCGACAGAAGGTCGATCTTGTAGTGCTGGACAAATGTCAGTGGGGAAGCCCACGTGGCTGCCTTGCAGATGTCAGCAAGTGGGATGGCCCCGAAGAAGGCAGTGGAGGTTGCAACGGCCCGGGTGGAGTGCGCCTTAAGGCCCGGTGGCGGGTCCCTGCCGGACAGGTCATACGCGAGGCAGATGGCCTGTAGAACCCACGCCCCCAGGCGTTGAAGAGAGATAGGATTGCCCCAGGTGTCCTGACGGTACTGGAGGAGGAGACGGGGGGACTTCCAGAAGAACTTGGTGCGGTCCAGATAATACAAGACTACCCTCCGGACATCAAGGAGATGAAGGGAGGTCTCCAGGGGGGTGGAAGGGGATTGGAAGAAGGCTGGGAGGACGATGTCCTGCGCAGCGTGGAAGAGGGAGGAGACCTACGGTAGGAAGGAGATGTCCGTTCGGAGGACCAACTTGTCACGGTGGAAACGGACGTAGGGCTCATCCGCCCGGAGGGCACAGAGTTCACTGGCACGGTGGGCGGTGGTGATGGCCAGGAGAAACGCCGTTTTCCACGAGAGATGGGACAGGTCAGCGGAAGACAAGGGTTCGAATGGAGGCCTGGTGAGAGCCGACAGGACGAGGCGAAGATCCCACGCCGGAGGAGGGAGGAGCCGAGGAGGGTACTTGTTCTTGTAGCCCTAGAGGAATAGTTGAACCAACGGGTCCTGGAAGGGAGAAGGGAGGCAGTGGCGCTTCCTATGAGCGGTAATGGCTGCCAGATAGCACTTGATCGACGACAGGGCGAGGCCCTTGAGAGCCAAGGAGGCAAGGAAATGGAGGAGAACGGGGGAAGAGGCCGTGAGCGGGTCCGTGCCCCGTGTGGAGGCGAAGGTGGTAAACAGAGTCCACTTGCGGGCATAGGACCGTTGTGTGGATGGTCGATGGGCCGCATTCAGGATGTCAAGGACTGGCGCGGAGAGGCCTGCGGTTGGATCCTCTAGGCGGTGAGGTGGAGCCACGTAGTGTCCGGGTGGCAGACCATCCCGGAGTGAGTGGTTAAGAGGTCCGGCCGTGGCGGTAGCTGACGGTGATGGCCGGCCGCGATGGAGGACAGGAGCGGGAACCAGGGCTGACGAGGCCACCAGGGGGCTACCACGATGGCATCCACCTCGTCGTGGTAGAGCTTGGCGATCACTTTCAGGAGGAGAGGGACGGAGGAAAGGTGTAGACCAAGGGTCCCATCCACCTGAAGAGGAAGGCGTCGCCCAGGCAGCCGCTGGGTGTGGGGCGTGACCCCCAGGAGCAGAAAAGGTTGTACTTCGTGTTGGCCCCTGTGGCGAAGAGCTCGATCAAGGGGGTGCCCCACCGGTGGAAGAGAGGCGCGGCGACATCGGGATGAAGGGACCACTCGTGATCCGTGGTGGAGGATCGACTGAGGAAATCGGCCCGGTCGTTGGACTGGCCTGGGACATGAATGGCCACTATATAGATGTCATGGGCGATGCACCAATGCCAAATGATGAAGGTCAAGGTCAAGAGGGCCCGCGATCGAGTTCCGCCTTGTTTGTTGACGTACCACATGACGGTGGTATTGTCGGTGCACACCTGGACAATGTGGTGGGATAGGAGATCCCGGAACGTTCTGAGGGCCTTGAAGAGGGCCAGCATCTCCAGCAGGTTGATGTGGAGTTGTCGTTTGGAAGGAGTCCAAAGGCCACGTGTCGAGTGGCGGCCCGTGTAAGCCCCCCAACCCGTGAGGTAAGCATGCGGGACGGGTCCCGGGGTCGGAAGGGCATGCCCGCGAGGACTGTCGACCGGAGGAGCCACCAACGGAGGGAGCGGGCGACGCGACTCAGCAGGACGAGACGGGTGGACAGCTTGTCGCAAAGACGGTCGAAGTGGCGGAGGAACCAGGCCTGAAACGGGCGCATGTGGAGGCGTGCAAAGGGTTGACGGCCGAGGTTGACGCCATGTGCCCTAGGGCGGACTGGACCTGCGATGCGGGAACCCCGGTCCGGCGCGTCAGGGAGCGGACGGAGGTGCGAAGTGTCTCGAAGCGGTCCTCAGGTAGATAGGCAGTGTGGCCGGCCGAGTCGAGCACCGCTGCAATGAATTGTATGGTCCTCGAGGGAGTGAGGCAGGACTTGGTATGGTTCACGATGAGGCCCAGATCCTGCAGAAGGGAGAGGGTGAACCGGATGTCGTTAAGGAGAGAGGAGCTCGAACGGCCCAGGAGCAGCCAGTCATCAATGTACGGGAACACGGTCATGCCCTGAGTATGGAGGAAGGCAGAGACAGCAGCCATGCAATTAGTGAACACCCTTGGGGCAGTGGAGATCCCAAAGGGGAGAACCTGGTAGGAAAAAGTGAGGTCCCCTATCATGAAGTAGAGGAACCTGCAGTGAGGGCGGGAAATGGAAATGTGGAAGTACGCATCCCGGAGGTCGATTGTGGCGAACCACACCTCCGTGGGAATAAGGGGAAGGATGGTGGAGAGAGTCACCATCCGAAAGGTGGGAGAGTACACAAACGTGTTGAGGGCATGGAGGTCAAGGATGGTGCGCTGGCCGCCACCCTTTATGGCCACTAAAAAATAACGGGAAAAAAAGGCTGACAAAAAAACTGAGGATGAAGAGGGACTATTGCTCCCTTTGACAACAACGAGCAGACCTCCTCCCATAACCCCTGGGAGGGGGAAGTAGCCTTCAACACCCCCGTAGGGGGGAGCGAAACAAAATCAATGGAGTAGCCATGTAAGACTACGTCCAAAACCCACTTGTCCGTGGTGATGGCCTGCCAGGCCGAAAAGAAAGGCACTAAACAGGAACCAAACTGAAAGTCCACCCCGGGCACAAGTTGGTGCTGCTCAAGGGCATCAACGTCCAACAAAAATGGGAAGGCATCACCGTGCCATGAGGGGGAGGGGAATTGTGGGAGAGCAGGAGAGGGTGGGGGAGGTGGGGGGGAGGAGTCAAAAACGACGCCTGCCCCTGCCCTGAAACCGGGGCTTCCCCTGTTGGGGAAGGCGAGACGGCTGCTGTTGTCTAGGCGGCTGGGGCAGTGGGGTCTGGGGAAAAAGTTGTTGTATTGTGTTTTGGGCTTCGGCCTGTGTAAGCCGCATCGAATCCCTTGGGAGATGCTAGCGGGGTACAAATAAAGTTATAATAATAATAATAATAATAATAATAATAATAATAAGCCTGTTGGGCGTCGGGTATGGCCGATGGGTATAGGAAGCAGAGAGTTGCCACCGACCTGCAGAGCGAGGTTGCCTCTGGGTGACATAGCCAAATGTATGGGCTGCCTGTCGGACCTCGTGAGTCTCC